TAGTTTTTTTTCATGATAAAGCCTAAAATATATCGTAAACATACTAAAGACCTTCACTTAAACCTTTTTTGGAAAAAGAAATGGAAGTATTGATGAAATTTTAATGAAAATAACCTGTATATACCTGTTCTAATGATATGGTCCGCCATCTTGGATTTTGGCCAATGACGTCATCAAATTAGCATAAATTATGCATATTTAATGATAAAATTTACATAAAATTATATGGGATGTTATTGATATTAGAAACCATGAGTAACTTGACATAAAACCCATAAAATTCTATTGTTGAAACAAAAAGTACTAAATTTAGCAAAAAATGCCTGTCAGAAACCCGTTGCCATGGCAACACAAAAAATTATTATCTTATTCCAATGATAGAAAATTGTTGCCAACAATATTCTAGGAAAAGTCACCAAGTTTGGCCGTTCTACGGCTAGCTGTTCAGACGCTAGGTGACATCAAAGTTGCCGCGGGCACTTTTAGCCCCCCCCCCGGTCTAGGTAGGGTTAATGACTTGAATGATATTGATTATTGAAAGAATTTGTGAAACACAGAGAATCTGTATGTAGAAATAGTTATCGTAAAGACAATGGTCAGCCTACAAACGTAACGTTTGCAAATCAAATATATGTATGTTAAACCATTGTATTGGATGGACTATGATTAATCCAATATACTTAATTTACATATATGTAAATCTAACAATAAATAATAATATAAAAGTCACTGTATTTCGTCGAATTTTGTCAAATTCAAAGCCTTGCACATATAATACCAAATACTTATTGTTTTTATATCTTTGTACGTAGGTGACAGCTAAACAGAAAACGATTCACTCTTACTCACCAGACGGAAATCCGATGATTCCTTCTCCTGAAGCGAACTCCATGGTCTCCACATGGAAGATCGGCTTCTGGGCACAGAACTCCGTCATCTTGGGTCCCAGGGAGGTTCTCTCCTGGACCGGCTCACTCAGCACGCGTTTGTAGGACTTGGTCACCACCATGCTGCTGACACGGGCTTTGGGATCCTGCAAAATACATTGAAAGACATAGTAAAACGTTGAACTTTATTCCAACACACAATTTACAGAGATCAAATTTACAGAGATCAAATTTTCTGCGACCACTGTGGCCTTCATCAGGATAATTAATGTCCAAAATCACGTCCACCGAGGCTCTGGCCTGGCTCTAGGCCTAGTTAGTCCATGGTAGTTAGCGACAGTACGGAGCCGGTGGTAACTCTGGAGGATGTCACCCAGGCTACCGATGCTCCACGACTCAGGAACTCGGCACATACTTGTACGTGCAGTGCTGATTCATAAATTCCACAAAAAGCCAGCATGTGCTGGCTTATCGTATACGTCGCTATGTACTGCCACAAATTCACAATACCAGCTTTGTATTCCTGTTCTTTAGTAGCATTTTTATTTTTGGCCGGAAGTTCTTTTTATTCGTCCGCGCGCACTAGGTTGGGGGTCTACAGATGATGTCATCTATAAAATCAAGTCGGTGTGGCCTAAGATTGGGAAAGGACACTAAACATGAGTTACCTGAACTTGAGTAAAGCCTTCCCCCATCTGCTCCAGGCTGGGGAAATTCTCCGGAAGCCCGTCAATCAAACAGAAGCTGCCTGCACTCGGCAGAGTCGCCATCAGGTGCTATAAAACACAGAGGGATTGTTAATGCTTCGGTTCCAATTGCCGGGTAGTCCCCAGGCTGTTTTTTGGCCCTTTCGGGCGTGACCCGTACGTGGCCCCGCGGGACACCGGGCTATTTCTGGGCCCGGCGGGGACCCGAGAAGAATTTCATTCTGACTTAAATTTTACCCGAAACCCGCAGACAAAAAGACGCAGTGACCTCATCGTGAGAACGCCGAGAGGTACCCCTCCGGTTGTCGGCAGTCCACTGGGACACATTTGTTACGTCACAGACCAGATGAACAGAATAAAGGTGTGTACTTCGTAAACCCGGGTAAAAGGTGTGACGTCACAGATCAAATGATCACAACAAAAGCGTTATTTCTGCATTACGTTTAGGTCAGTACAAGACATCGTCAGGGAATCCGCCAGGTGTCTGCCGGAGACCGACCAAAGAGAGTGACAAAATTTTTAACAAAATGCTACTGAAGGAAACTTTTAATTGTGACCACGACAGCCGATGCCCGCCCGACTCCTGAACCCGGCCGGGGCCAGCCGGGGCTACATCCCCGACGGCTCAATTGGGACCGAAGCTTAACCGGGCTTGACATGGGACAGGTTCTGCCAAAATGTACCTGTTCTTGTATCTAGTCTTAGTGTCCGAGATGAGATAATTAGATCATTAGTCAATATAAGTGTGAAACTGTGACGCGATCATTGCTATACATGTAGGTACAAAGGGATTTTATCATGTAGAACAGCGAGCACACTGACGCTAAGCGACTTGCTATAGTTCTATATATGCTTGAATAAAGTAGCTTTTATTATTGGGTCAAATAACAAGGTTTATCATATATGAAACCAAGGACTGTGTTCTGTGGACACCATTTTGGTGACTTAAATGGTTAAAGGAAGAAAGAAGGTAACAGTTTAATGTAATCATCACTGTTTAAAGTGCTAGAACTAGTTGTTACACAATCCAAGAAACTCACAGTGTTGAGGTCGAAGAGAATGTCCTGTTGTTCCACAGTGTTGTGTTGAGGGATGTTAAAAAGGGCCCAGTTGTTCTCATAGTCCAGAGTCACCTTCTGGGTGAAGGTCGTGCCGCGTTCGTTGATTTCTATTGCGAAAGTCTGCAGTGTTGCAAAAATATACTTAAGGATCAAAATATGAAACATGCCAGCATCATAGAATCATAAAAATAATTTCCTACATCAGAAGTTTTGACTTAGCAGTGCAAACCAACTAAAACACTTGAGTTAACCTGCCTTGGTCTTGGACGTCTCCTCACACTTGCAGGTAGGACCTGCGCTCACGGTCAGAACCAGGGTAGCCAACAGCACAAGATACTTCATACTGATGATCTACATGGAAACATTTCAAGTAATTAATGTGTGCCGAGGACATCGCTGAAAAAACTTAGGGAGAAATAGGAAAGGCAAAGTATAATATTGAAAAATGGAAAAAAGAAGAAGTCTAGGAGAGAACATTAAGTATAAGGAAACATTATATAACAAGTTGACGGCTCTTTCTAGCTTCACTGGAAAACTATGAAAAATAGCTGCAAGAAGTAAAAATATTATCTGAATTGCTAAGAATCTAGAAATGGCAACTATGTCCTAAATTTGTTTTAAAAATTCAAAAAATATATAAAACGAAAAAAAACTTACCTTTGCGTCCGTGACAAAAGAAAACTCTGAAGACGTTTGCAGGGCGGCTTGTGGTCTATCTGGGTTCCAGGAGTCCGGCTGTTCTGATCACTCTGCTCTGGGCTCCAATTTATAGCAAAACTCAACTGATAAGGGTAGTAATGATGTCAGAAAAATAGGCGGTTTCTTTGCTTTTGCCTGTTTTTTTCGTGTTAGATTTCTTTGTAAGATAATTCTATCTATTGGTAACATGGCATGTTATGCTAAACATGAGCGACCTGTCAAGGTTAATTTCCGGGAAATGCACAGAGGCGGAGAAAACAACATGACAAATGAATAGCTGCTTCCAAATAAGGTACAAATCACGAGTTCCGGGAACCATAGCGGGTTAAGAGAGGTCAAATAGAGAAAACTTGAAAAAAACTATGCTTTTAAAATGCTACGATGTATGTTATAACAATATGTTAATGAAAAACATGTTAGATTACATAGAACTTTAAGGGAAGTGAACACAGCGGTAAGAATTACATGGTTCCAAACATGCAATCTCATGGTGCATTTCAGCCATAAACTGTGGACGTATCGGTACCCTGGAGTACACTACTCTTCAAGCATAGGTTTGGGTTTGGGGTCATTTATGGTGTGTTTTTAGGCTTTTTTATCGGGGTTTCTCTTTTGCACTGAATTTTGCACACAAAAATTCAGTGCAAAAGAGAAACCCCGATAAAAAAGTACCACCAAACACGCTTAAAGTACCACCAAAACCCAAACCTCTGCTTTGAGAGTAGGAGTTAACATGACTTTTTGTCGCGGAACAGGACAAATTCCGAGAAAGTAACCAATTCTTCGGCCATCGATGACATCACGAACTCAAGGTCCAGGGGAAGAACATCATTAGTGACCGGTCAAGGACAAGGTCTATTTCCCAGAAATTAGTCGGTTGGCTTGTTTATATAATTTCAGATATGTTAACGTTCAACTCTACCCCGGTACAAACATGACGTCATTTTTCGCGGAACTCGTGCGTAGATTTAATTTCTACAACAAAGCTCACGTACTTTACTGACCGGTCAAGGTTTATTCCTTGAAATCTTTCAGTTAGGAGAAGTGAACTTTAAAATCGTTGAGTAAAAAAGGATTCTCACATCCATATTTATCAAGATTGTAATAAAATGTTTTTAAACTGACGAAGTCGAAGTGCAGTGTCATCAGACATCCATAGGATAATGAGGTCAATGACCTCACGATGTTGGGGACGTTTTAAAGGACAAGAACAATTTACCAAGACAGGCAGAAGGGGTTATTATACCTACGTAACACTATTCCTACCATCTTAATATTCATTATATATATGATAACGTTTTAAGTACAGTAGTTCGTTGGGTTGCTGTGTTGTCTAGCTGATAATGTACACCTCTTCTTCGAAATTCACACGTTTTTTGTTTGTTTGTTTCGCATAACCGGTAAACAGCCTTTAGGTATAAGACACCAGTTTTGTACATGTACACAAGACCGGTGACATGGACAAGATTCGAACCCGCGACCTCTTTGGTGTGAGCCGAACGCGCTACTGACTGCGCCAGACGACCCCACTAAACTTGTCATATCATTTACGTGCTGTTTTCTATTGCATTTATACCCCATTTTTAAACAAACAAAATGTCCGACCAGTCATGAAGCAGGCAAATGCAGAGCGTGGGTGTTATTGTCAAACAGAACTCAGGATCAAACATGACATCATTTTTCCGGGAACGGCGGAAAATCCAAGAAAGCAACTTATTTGTCCGGTCATAGCTGACTGCTGCACATTCTCAGGGTTCATAGATTAGACAACAGTAGACACAAACCTAGTGACCGGTCATGGTTCGTTTCCTGAAAATTAGTTAGATATAAAATCGTTGAGTATGTGTAAATCACGTGGGAGTAGGGTATTTTTCACAATAACTCACTAGCAAACCAGTCTATCAAAACAAAAAAACACTACTTCCACTCCGTCGGTACAGAAGGACCAAGGTAAACATCTGGAATGTACGAGCAAGGTCTGTTGGTAAACTGGACGAGTTGCTACCAGTAGATTTGTCGAACTAAAAATGGTTATACGATAGTCCATGTGTCACAGTACGGGGAGATTAGTAACCGATTAAGGATGGGTACTATACATACGGGAAGAAAGTCAGGAAGTTTGTTGGTTAATTACGAGGTAATAGCCTGGAATCCTGAAGGCAGAGCGGAGGAACGGAGCGGAGACAAGGCGTTCACGGGTGGATTCCAGGCTAGAGGGTTTGGGGTGGAAGTGAATATTGCGTTCATAACATGACAACGTTCCCACGGGTGGGTGGTCTGGAAGAGAAATTCTAAAGTTTACCCAAATCCACATATTCAGTAAAACTAACACTCTAGGCTATTATAGTAGTACATGTATTACGTTCAATAACGTCGACATGGTTAATAGTAATATAACGTAGTGGTTGAAGATCCACGCACTTAAAACAGCGTTTTTTGTACGGAATCATTAGATGAGAGGCTACTCTCGAAATCATAACAGTTCAGTTTTGCAATCCGAGCAAGCGTAGGTTTTGCACTCGTGGTGTATCTTTTGGTCCCTCTTACCTGTGAGTTCAGGGCAGGGACCAGGATAAGGACATCCCATTGGTAATCTATGCTAAAACCACTAGAAACAAGCACTTCAAAACACATTTACCTTTATTTTAAACCTCAAGTCTTTACCCCCACTGCAAAGTTTAATTTGTTAGGTTTCTTTTGGTACAAATAGTGAAAGTTCGACTCCGGAGTTTTAATGAGCTACAGCCAAAATATTGATACGATACCAGGATTTCACACGGCACCCCCTAGCAAAGTGGGACAGTCCACACGGAGAACAAGTATTTAGAGGTCAATGACAGGTCAGACCATCGAAAAGGCTTTTTGGCCATATTTTAAAAAATATACATTCTTCTGTCCTTCTTACCAGAAAACTGGACCTTTCTGAGCAAAATTTGCCTAGGAAAAAAATATCTAGAAAATAAGTCCCAAAATATATCGTGTACACACTGCTAGTTCTACGCACGGTGATTTGCTGGCCCCTCCCCTACTGGAGTGAGTTCCTCAATCGCCGGACGTGCTGTTCTCACTGAGTCGGGGTAGCCAAGAACTAAAACGTGGTGACTGTCCAACTTTATTTGCGAGCTCAGGCATAGGTTGTGTCTGCGGTCCGGATATGTTGTATACTGCCGACCCTGCATTATCCTACAGACGCGTTTCTCTACGCAATCCAGTCAGTTGATTTGTCTGTTGTTTAGGGCGACCTGTAATGATGAAAGAACTTTATTGTATATCAATGCCCTTACATGTTAAGTACAGGGCATTATCGTGAGGTTCTATTTACAATAATGATGATATAAGCCCGGTATCTTACTCATACTTGACGTCTAGATATGTGGGGGTCGTTGGGGCACCATGATAAGGCCACTATCTTACTAAAGCTATAATATTCTGATATAAACACGGTTCCCCTTCTGGTAGCCTCCCTTAGACAGTTATCCATGTAAGTGTAAGAACCGAAGGAGCTTATATTACATGATTTATCATGTTGCATATATGCTATCTAAATATCTATAGTATAGGGACATTACATGAACTACAAGAATAGACTTGCGGCTGTTTAACTGTCCAAATATAAGGATTAAACTTCATGATTCGGTACCAGAGGCCAGGCCTGATACCATGGAAATGTTACTCTCCAAGCAGAGGTTTGGGTTTTGGGGGTATTTTTAGCGTGTTTTTAGGCTTTTTTATCGGGGTTTCTCTTTTGCACTGGGTTTGGTGGGAAAAAAAATTCAGTGCAAAAGAGAAACCCCGATAAAAAAGCCTAAAAACACGCTAAAAATACCCCAAAAACCCAAACCTCTGCTTGGAGAGTACGGAAATGTCGTTTTGATATATTTTGTATGTTGTATATTTTGTAGCTATGGCTCTTTTTTTAGGTTTGTGTTTGGCTTTTTGCATATTTTAGTGACCTTGTTGGAGGTGGTGTCCAATCTAAATAAGGTCTCATGTCTAAAATACGTTAGTAGGGTCGCTATCTTGTCTATGTAAAAGTGCAGGGCTCATGGAGGATATCTAGTCATTTTACATTTGGACAAAATTCAGCAACGGAGAACACTACATTATTGGTAATCAAAAGGTCAAATAATATTTCATATTATTTCTCTGCTATCATTTGCTGCATCCGTTGCTGTACAAAAAATGTCGGACCCGTCAAATGTAATGAAGCAGACAAATGTTTTTCCAGTGCAGAGTGGGGCCATTGTCTACCTGTACCCTGGAGCATATATGACTTCATTTTTCTCGGAAGAAGAGGAATACGGAGAAAGTAAACCATTCGTCCGGTCATGTTTGCTCCTGCTTCACGTTCTAAAGGTCAATAGATTATATAGCAGAGGACATGATCGTAAGTGACCGGTCAAGGTTTGTTTCCCGGAAATTTTATAAGGAGAAGCAAACATTATAATCTCTGAGTAAGCATGCTCACAGGAATGTGAAAGTTTACTTAAATGTATTTACAGCTGGCTAATATAGTATGTGCACAGTCATCACTACATCCATAGGATCATGAGCATGGAATGTCGTAAACCACAAGACCATTATTGCGGCGAATGATTATCGCTCCGTAACACCATTCTCTTGTCTTTCTGTCTGTCTGTGTGTCTGTCTGTCTTTGTCTATCTGTCTGTGTCTGCCTGTCTGTCTGCCTCTGTCTGTCTGCCTGTCTGTGTCTGTCTGTCTGTCAGTGTCTGTCTGTCTGCCTGCCTCTGTGTCTCTGTCTGTCTGTGTCTGTCTGCCTGTCACTGTCTATCTGTCTGTCTCTGTCTGTCTGCCTGTCACTGTCTGCCTGGCTCTGTCTGTCTGTGTCTGCCTGTCTCTATCACTGTCTGTCTCTGCCTGTCTCTGTCTGTCTGCCTGTCTCTGTCTGTGTCTCTGTCTGTCTGTCTGTCTCTGTCTGTCTGTCTGCCTGTCTCTGTCTGTGTCTCTGTCTGTCTGCCTGTCTCTGTCTGTGTCTCTGTCTGTCTGTCTGCCTCTGTCGGTGTCTGTCTGTCTGTCTGTGTCTAGTGTCTCTGTCTGTGTCTGTCTGCCTGTCTCTGTCACTGTCTGTCTCTGTCTGTTTGTGTCTGTCTGCCTGTCTCTGTCTGTCTCTCTCTATCACTGCCTGTCTCTGCCTGTATCTGTCTGTCTCTTCCTCTCTGTCTGTGTCTGTCTGCATGTCTGTGTCTGTCTGCCTGTCTCTGTCTGTCACTGTCTGCCTCTGTCTGTATCTGTCTCTGTCTGTCTGTGTCTGTCTGTCTGCCTGTCTCTGTCTGTCTCTGCCTGTCTCTGTCTGTCTGCCTATCTGTGTCTGTCTGTGTCTGCCTGTCTGTCTGTCACTGTCTGTCTCTGTATGTCTCTGCCTGTCTGTCTGTGTCTGTCTGGCTGTCTGTGTCTGCCTGTCTGTCTGTTTCTGTCTGTCTGTCTATGTGTCTGCCTGTCTGTGTCTGTCTGCCTGTCTGTCTGTGTCTGTCTGCCTGTCTCTGTCGGTCTGTCTCTGTCTGTGTCTGTCTGTGTCTGCCTGTCTGTGTCTGTCTGCCTCTGTCTGCCTGCCTGTCTGTGTCTATCTGTCTGTCCGTCAGTGTCTGTCTGCCCGTCACTGTCTATCTCTGGCTGTCTCTGTCTGTCTCCGTCTGCCTGTCTCTCTTTGTGTGTCTGTCTATGTGTCTGTCTGCCTGTGTCCGTCTGTCTCTGTCTGTCTGTCTGTCTGTGTCAGTGTCTGCCTGTCTCTGTCTGCCTGTATCTGCCTGTCTGTGTCGGTCTGTCTGTGTCTGTCTGTCTGTCTCTTCCTGTCTCTGTCTGTCTGTGTCTGTCTGTCTGTGTCTGTCTGTCTGTGTCTGTGCCTGTCTGTGTCTGCCTGTATCTGCCTGTCTCTGTCGGTCTGTGTCTGCCTGTCTGTGTCTGTCTGCCTCTGTCTGTCTGCCTGTCTGTGTCTGTCTGTCTGTGTCTGTGCCTGTCTCTGTCTGCCTGTATCTGCCTGTCTCTGTCGGTCTGTGTCTGCCTGTCTGTGTCTGTCTGTCTCTGTCGGTCTGTGTCTGCCTATCTCTGTCTATCTCTGTCTGACTGTCTCTGTCTGTGTCTCTGTCTGTCTGCCTCTTGTCTCTGCCTGTCTCTGTCTTCCTGTCTCTGTCTGTGTCTGTCTGCCCGTCTCTGTCTGTATCTCTGCCTGTCTGTCTGTGTCTGGCTGCCTGCCTATCTCTGTCTGTCTCTGTCTGTCTGCCTGTGTCTGTCTGTGTCTCTGTCTGTCTGCCTGTCTAGGTCTGTCTCTGTCTGTCTCCCCCTTTCTCTCTCTCTCTTACAAGTTAGGCAACAATGACTTGTCTTTACCAATGGCAAAACCGATGCAATTGGTGAAGTAGTTCAGAAAAAGACGCCTAGATTTGACATAGTATTACAAACAACACATTCTTTATTCTTCAGCTATCGGGAGCTATAAAGCCGTAGATCAGGGGACGTTGTAACATACTATAATATTGTTCTAACAGGCGATGTGGGGACTTTTTTTAGCATGAAAAATATATAGTAGGAAGATTTTTTTCAAGATATAGCTCTTTTAATTTACCGGTCTCTGCCTTTTTAACATGCAATGAATAACGGGTATGTTGCTGTGAGCAACATGCAGCAGAAATTATATCTTGAAAGCTTCGCGCATGATGACGATGTACAGGTTCGTATTTTCTGTTTGACCGGTCGACTGCTGAACTTTTCTAGCTTCCAGGAAAGGGAACCTGGATTAGCAAAACAGTTCCAAAAGGCATGTACAGCTGTGCCAAAACAAACATTCAGGAACAGCGAATAACGGCCTTCGTCGTAAACACTAATTATACGTGAAACCGAAAAACATTTCTGGGAAAAAACTGCGAAGTGTACAATGTCTTTCCGCTGCCAACAGCAATTTCAAATACGCATAAATATGTGACAAACACAGATGGGTGTTTTGTTTTGAGGTGTTTGTTCAGTCATCGCGCTGGCTATAAATTCTGCACCCTGACAAACTGAATCTGCACACTAACAATTCTTTCTGTGACCAAACGGCTGACTTTTATGATAAGGAGTGGACGAAACGTCTTCTTTGCTCTCATCATGGTAAGATTTTTGGCATTGAAATATATTTGCTGAAGCCGTGTTCTTGGAAAAGCGTCTGATTATTTTTCTGATAATCGCACCAGGTCAAATCAATCGAGATGCCCGTATTTTGCACTTAATAATAGATAAAATGTGTTTCATTTCTTCAAGGTGTTTATGAAATCTCTTCTGCTGGTGGCAGCGCTTGTTGCGTCTGTGAGCGCAGGTCCGACATGCAAGTGTGAAGAACCGTCCAAAATAAAGGTATGGCATGCTAAAGCCTTGGTCACAACCCTCCGTACGTGCTTTTTGTCCGTACGTTTTTTGGGCGGCTACGTCTGCTACGTTTTTTTCTGAAAAAAAGTGCGGAAGGAATGGCGTAAACGCACGTCACTCGCACGGTTGCGCAAGGTGTAAGAGTGTGGTCTGCACGCCACGTCTGGCCGTGAGCGGTTGTGTACATCGTACGTTGCACAAGTGGTAAGTGAGTTGTACGTGAGTTGTACGTGTCACTGACGAAAGCTAGTGAATACTAGCTGAAACGTCTGACGCTTTCAAAATCATATCCAGTTGCTTGAGGAACTGTTTTTTGGCGTGTCGTATTACCTGGATGTCTAACCTTCATCGACGTGAGTTGTACGTGCTTACAACGTACGATCTCTTGCAACGTTACCGTAAGGAGGTCGTACTCACACGTGCTTCTTCCGTACGGTACGTACGGGGCACGCGCGTTGCACGTACTCGCACGTACTTTAATTATATGGCGTGTCTGCGTGCTCCCAAATCCGTAGGATTCCGTACGGAGGTGGTACTCACCACGCACGGATGCCCTACGTTTGCCCACGTTTTTGCACGAAGACAGCACGCAGAAGCACGTACGGCGGGTTGTGACCGAGGCTTAAGACATCCCTCATTGCGTTTTTTGTTATATCATAATAAATATTTGAGGTGCGCCAATTTTTAAAGTATGTTGTTAGAGTTCAGTATTGTTCTATTTGCACAGACCCTGGCAGTGGAAATTAACGAACGCGGCACGACCTTCACCCAGAAGGTGACTCTGGACTATGAGAACAACTGGGCCCTTTTTAACATCCCTCAACACAACACTGTGGAACAACAGGACATTCTCTTCGACCTCAATACTGTGAGTTTCTGGGATTATATTCCTTATACAAGATAACTCCGGAGAGACAAGAAGTAGAGGCGCAAAGTGGCCTGTTTTGTCCCCCTCTTCATTGTGTCGTATCGTGGAGAAGTCGAATAAAGAACTAGAAAGGCCGACATTTGCTTGAGAGCAAATGCAGAAGATGGCTTCACCACATCCCCCATACCGAAAATGGATCTATCCTACGATGGCTGCCAATAGTCTACACCCCCATGCAGCAATGGAACCTTCCAATGCCGGAAATAGCAAAAAAGCCCTATTTTACATAACTTTAAGGTGGTGTATGTCAAAATCGAGAATGACATTCTTTGGACATGTGTCCAAGGTATCCCCATACCGAATTTCAGGTCATTCAGATTTAATATTAGGGCACAGGGGCCAAAAATGTACATTTTTGGTCCGAAAATAGCCAAAAAGCCCTATTTTACACAATTTTAAAGTGGTGTATGTCAAAAGCTTGAATGACTTTTTGTAGACATATGTCCAAGGTATCCCCATACCAAATTTCAGGTCATTTGGTTTTAGTACCTGGGAACCAGATCTCAAAATGTATATTTTTTGCCTGAAAATGGCCAAAAAACCCAAATAAAACAATTTTTCAAAAAAATGAAAAAAACGCGTCAGGGTATTTGCCCACTCTACCTTCATGCCAAATTTCGTGTTATTTGGCCGGAAAATGGCAGAGATGAATCCATTTAAAGAAATGGCAGGAGGAGAAGGAGAAGGAGAAGAAACATGAGGGAACACAATATGTCTTCACCACTTTGTGGTGAAGCCATAAATAAAGAAATAACTCAAACTACGTACGTTGGCCTCACGACTGACCAATGGATTCTTACAGACGAAAACCATTTCCTTTTTTTTTGTGAACTTTTACTTTCTGAACTTTATAGGCTGTATTAGCAGGAAGATAAAAGAAAAGTCGTGGCAAGGACTTTCCAATATTTGACTGAGATCAGGGTAGACATCGGGAGTAATTAGATATATTGCTAGTTAAAGTCGATTATTACAAAGGATAGAATGCGCTATATTTCAGCCCCTTCCTTCAGATCGTACAATTTTGTCTCCTATTGCAGCACCTGGTGGCGACTGTTCCAAGCGCAGGTGGCTTCTGTTTGATCGACGCCATGCCAAGTGACTTTCCCAGTCTTCAAGAACTGGAAGATGGATTCACCCAAATCCAGGTAAAATTACATTTTATGTAAACTATATTGTCACTTTGACTTTTACTTTGTTTTCTTCTTTGTAGTACCTGTTGTTGGTAACATGAAAATTATAGAGCTGCTGCTGGCTATTTTGCAGACTGTTTTTCTGAGTACCAAAATGTCCTTACATAAAGACTGGTCGAAAACTGTTTATGATTAATGTCCATTATGGCCTATTTTGCAGGATCCCAAGGCTCGCGTAGAAGGCATGGTGGTGACCGAGTCCAGCAAACGCGTGCTGGGTGAGCCGGTCCAGGAGAGAACCTCCCTGGGACCCAAGATGACGGAGTTCTGTGCCCAGAAGCCGATCTTTCATGTGGAGACCATGGAGTTCGCTTCAGGAGAAGGAATCATCGGATTTCCGTCAGGTGAGTTGAAAAACACTTGCGAACTTCTTTCCATACATTATGGGCTGATAATATCCAGCGACTTATGCTGAGATTCTGCTGTAGTTAAAATGTAAAGAGTGCATATTTCTGAGTTTCATGTCTCATATTTCATATACATGTACGTAAATCAGTCGAAAACATGGCGTCCTATTTTCGTGACAGGGCCGAACGACACAACCCCGGTCCCTCCGCCGAACATGGGCGGCCAGGCCTTGGCGTCAAGGACGAGCCCATGTTCGTACAGCCCGACCAGCCTTCAGGTCAACTGCTACCCAGCCAGCGGGTTCAACTGCTGCTACCGTTCCAACAGCTGTTTCTACACCTACCAGTGCCGCCCTGTCCAGCCTTACTACAACCAGCCAACATACTCTCAGTGTACAGGCCGACATACCTCTCATGGGTACGGTTGGTTCTGCCTACCCCATTGTTGAGATATGTGTATTTGCCCATGTATAGCCTCACCCAACCCTACCCGTACCGCAAAATGTGTGACCTTTGCTTCCTGAACTATCGTGGTGGGAGTACAGGGGCTGGGATACATACAACAGTACCGAGCTATGTTCACATCCAAAGTGTTGTTACTTCGTGTGTTGTTTGACTTTCTTTCTACACGCTTTTTCATGACATGTATCTTTGTGCCACATGATACTTGCATGAACGTTTACAGAAGTGTGTAATGTATGCTCTGGTCTGGTTTTCAAGTATTCATCAAGTAATTGATTGTTTTGTAAGAACAATTTGTATCTTTGTGTACCTTTACTTAGAAGTCTTCAATTTCAACTTACTTGGTTCCCCAATGTGTGTGGGAAAAGTTAGAGCAGGGCCAGTTGTGTCAGACGGTGTGTTAGGTGTCGAGGCATTATATGAATAAAGCCCTATTCCCCTTGTAGAGACTTTTAGATAATCATAATAAAAGTAACTGTCAGCTTATTTTCATGCCCTGTGTTTTCCATGTTGTGCTTATTGATTTGTTGAATGGTTTCAATTAAAAAAAATCGTAAACACGTTGATATTTGTCTGTTGTTACTATCAACCTATAATAATGAAGCCTTTCTTGCCTATTAAAAAGGATTATTATTGGAAAATGGTTTTATGATTGGAATATGTTGCATGACGTAAAGTACTAAGTATGAAAGAAACACAAAACGTCGTTGTTTCTTTAAGATATTAAGATGAGCAACCTGTCAAAGTATTAATAGTAATAATAGTTTAATGATATTCTTAAAGGCACCCAATGCAGTTTTTGGGGCTTGGCAACCCGAATTTTCAAAGTTAATATTCTAGTCACCTAACTACATACTGAGTTGAAACAAAACTCTCCCAATGTATTTTGACCCTCAAAGAGCAAAAATACCTAAAATTCTGACGGGAAATAGTTACTGGAAGAGTCTTTGGCTGATTTTTAGGTTACCACCCATAAAATAAATTACTCATCTTGGGGCTTGTTTCTGCAGTTTTAAAATACCCAAAGTATGAAATACCAATTGAGATGTGCTAATGTGAAGCAGTATGTGTCAATATCATAAAGATTGCCTTATTCAAAATATTTCAGTTTCGCTGCTCTGAAATCGCAGTGGATGCCTTTAAAGCGATCTAATATTCTATCAAAATGTACGATGTTGAATTGACATGACAAAATATATAATTACAAAGATGTTATAAACTACAGATAAAACAACAATACACCATATAACCAGACATTTACGGCTTCTCAACAAGCGCTTAGCGATCGCACAGGTTTCTCACATATAGCCGAATACGGCCCCGAACACTGCCGAAGTCCCCCCACCCACAGTTAGGCCACACCGACTTAGAACTCAGGAACGTAAAAACGACTCAAGAACGACTAAAGACCTCAGTACATACATACAGTGACGATTCATAAATTCCGTAAAAAGCCAGCATATGCCGGCTTGTCGTATACGTCGCTATGCACTGCCGCAAATTCACAATACCAGCTTTGCATACCTGTGGTTTAGAAGCGTTTTTTTTTTTTATTTTTGGCCGGAATTTTTTTTATTCACCCGCGCGCACTAGGGGGTCTTCAGAGGAAGTCATCCGTAGAATTAAATCGGTGTGGCCTTATGAGTAGGGCAGGAGCAAGGTCGGGAAAAGGTTCTAAATGTGTGATGGGACCCAGATACCGCTCGGCGACATATCATTGCAGATTAGATGAAATGAGAATTACAGAAATGTAAAGATAAAACAACAATGTATTCAAATTTATTCATATATTTCATGGAATATGTTCTAGTGATTGAACAGCTCAGCCATCGGATGTTAGCGTTACTAATGTCTGCTCTGCTTCTTGATAAAAGTTGTAGAATACTTACATCGATATCTGTATTTTATGGGCTGGCAACACCCTCCTTCGTCGTAACGCAGTAGCCTCATGTCTAGTTCTATATGTAACTATCAATGTGATTTTGTAGGGCAAAACATCAGTGGAAAGGTGGTCGGAACTTTTAAAGTGCCTACTTTGTAGTGTGCCAAACACGTAAAGAATATACATGATAGAGTAAATAGATACAAGCTCGATACCTGGAACTGCTTCTGACTGAGTCATTAGTGACTATGTCTTTGTTACCATGCCGTGAATATTTGTCTCCCCATAGAGAGTAATGTTTACTCTCCCGCTCGCCTGAAGCCATGTTATGTTAGTGGTTAATAATTACATGAGCTTTACATGACCCTTTTCTGAACTATGAAAACAGAGTAGTATGAAAACAAGTTTGCAGTTGTCGCCAGGCGTCACAAGGAAGTGCACTGCGAAACATTGGCCGGGGTTTCCACTACTCCAAGGACAGATCATTTCGGAAGAGTCAACATTTTGTAGAACAGGTAGGTAGAACAAAAAGTAAGTAAAGCCGTGTATTGTGATCTTAGTGTGTTCAGGCATGTACATATTAAGTTTGAGATATTAAAGGTGGTCCAGTCTAGAGCTAATCTACCAAACTCGTACGCACACACACGCGCACACACACACACACACGCACACGCACACACGCACACACACACACGCACACACACACACACGCACACACACGCACACGCACACACATATTTTACATATGATTTTATCAATTCATTTTGAATTATTTTATTGTCATTTCTTTGTTTATGCCTTATTGTGAATAGATATCCTTAAAATAGTACCCCAAATATAAGTTCGATGTAAGAGATGGGGTTTATGGAGAAGTAGCTTTGCATCAACCTATCCTTGCTGTGAATGTTTTGAGTAGGCTAGCTTGTTACTACATACTTGTATTTTTAATATTGTTAAAGGATAATATAGAAGGGGGAATAAAACAGATGTACATTGGGTCTGAGAATTAGTCTTGTCAATAATGTAGGCTAAAGAGAAAAAGCACGTAATTCTCTCTGACACTCTTTGATAATTATCGTGACTCCTAACAGACTAATGTGTTTGTTCTAGATAAAAGAAGAGTTCGCTTCACCCTGTCAGAAGAGGCTGTATCGAGTGAACAATGGTAGGTGCAGGAATATGATTTTTATTTTATTTTATTTCATTTCATTTTATTTATTTTATGTTATTGAAATTGCAACAATGCAATACACGCGGAACACAGGCAGCTGTTGCTGGTGTTGTGTCCCGCACATACAAACATATACTGGACAAACAATACTCATTTTCACTTGATTTAGTGGGAAAGTCGTGTTAAGTGCCTTTCCCAAGGGCACAAGATCGGTGGCATGTCAGGACTCGAACCCGGGACCTCTTGATTCCGAGTCGCGCACGCTGCCGTTGCACCACACGACCCCACAGAAATATAATAAAACACTCTTTCATATACAAACCGTTTAACCATTTTTGCTTTTTTTTTTCAAATAACGTTGATGCTGACCACAGAATATGGAAACAAAACAGATATACAAATCAGTTATTTTGTTCATGTTTAATAACAACTCATGTTAACATGTACATGATTGTATGCATATGATGACCGAATCTATGTATGTATGCCTGTATTTAGTATACACGCATGGGATGACAGAATCTACTGATTAGGCCACACCAATTTAACTTCTTGGTTAACGGATTTTTCTAGAAAAATAGTGGAGCGGGCGGGCGAAAAAATACATAAATAAAAACAGGCCTGGGCATCCTATTATGGCCCAAAATGGTACAATAGGAGCCATAAAGTCAAGACACCAGGCTGGTTCAAAATTAAAACAATGAATTGGGAACTTTTAATGATACCATTGCATCGAAAGATGGAATAACTGTAAGAACTAGGAAGAAAAGGACTGTTTTCAACTGTTCAGGGCAAAATATGAGCATTTTTTTGGCAAATCAGACAAAAATGAAGCGGGCGAATCCGTTAACTAAGAAATTAAATTGGTGTGACCTAAAGTAGAACATTGAGCGGTTAGTTCTGAAGTTTCATTGCATCATCTGCTGGGTTGTTACAGAGTTGTTAGGTTTTGTACCGGTTAAGTCATTTACTGTGGGAAATTGAACCTAGATTTGTTCCCCTTGGCCTATCTCACCTTTCAGATTCGTGTGTACTTAGCGGTCCTGGTCCTTGCAATTTTCGGCGAAAGAACTGTCTCTGCCAGTGGTGAAGATTCTGTTGACATCTGGGCAATAGAGTTGAGTGGTGGGGTACTGCATGCGAAGAGGTTTGCCTACAGCAATGGCTTCACATTCCTGAAACGTGTAAGTGATAAAGAATGATTTCTTTGTAATCTGCCGCCTGTTGTATGTAATTCAATGTGTATTTGATGCATATAAGCCAGATAGACGAGCAAAGTTAGCCTGGTATCCAGTCTTACATGATTGGGGGTGTTGGGGTGTTCAGGCAGGCTGTGTCTTCGGGGGCTCTAATAGCTTCCCCCTCCCAGTGCAACAGGCCGTCCCGGTAGGAGTGTTACGCTAATAAGAAACAGTATACTTGGGGATTTGGTTTCCCCCGAACACGTGGAGGGCTAATCAATCTCTCGTGAAACACTCAACGTGAAAGCTATGTGAGGCAGGCAGGACAGAGCTCTTGCGGCCCCGACCACGATCAGACTGCATACCAGGCTAGAGCAAAGTAGGATGCGGGCTTTTTTCTTGCCTACAAACGCCGACCAGCCTTGTTTCAAGAACTCTATAAAAAGACCCCCGGGTCCCTGCTATGCTGTGGTAATATTTCTAACCCGAGGCCTGTCCGTAAGTTTGCAGGAATGGACACAACATAGAAAAGACAAGGAACTCACACAGAACGTTCAAAAATATGAATAATCTATCGGTGTATATTCTTCATATATATTTTTATTGTTATTTTTGTACAGTCAAACAGTCGGACAGGGATGGCCCGGACTTGGAAATGTGAAACGAGCATAACTCAGTCTTAATGACGTATTTTATTGCACCGCAAAGGCATTCAGTCGATTCCTTTTTGCATGTGTTCAATTTTTTATTGACTACCTTTGGCCTACCAGAAATACTACATTACTAATAGGGATATTTACTCCATTTTTATGCCGTGTTTTACTGCTACTGCTTACACGGATAAGGTTAGTCTGTAGTAGTGCACACCCCAAATAATAAACTTTTGGATCTAGTTACTTGTTTTACATGTGAACAACGAGTGACACAATGTACAGACATCAATAGGCTTATCCACACGCTGAATAGACTAAAACGACTCAAGACAACTTCTTAAGAGCAGTTGTCTGTAAAAACCAAGCATAAGGTGGCCAAACTCAAAAAATCAAATTCTCTTAAATTTTGTGTGGTGGTAGGGACTTGGTCCAAACTTACAAAAATGGGTAAGTTTTGGTTCGCTGGTTGATGGTTGCCATGGCAACGGCCATTTTTCAAAATGGCGGATTTTTACCTGTGGAGGCATAAGTCTTGCCCAAAATGGACCATCTTTTACCCTCCGTATCTCACAGAAAGTAACACATATCTCATTGCTTCTAACATATTTTATGATCCATATTGTAACTAAGAAAATGATATGAAGTTT